TGGCAGAGCCGCTTCAGCTTGTTTGGTGTGGATGTGTCTCCTGCCCTGTTCCATATGCTTTCTCATATTTTGTTTCACCTCCGGCCTGCTCATGCGCTGCCAGTGGGGAATTGATTTGTGAGATTTATATATTTATTAATTTATATTAATGTATATAGTAATTTATATTTTGTTAATATATATTTTTCGATAGCAAACTGTTTGGTGATTAAATTGGACTGATTTTAAATTCTCACAAAACGCTTTCCTTACACATTATGGGGGGTTTATGGTTTATTTATGTAGTCCTCAATATAAATTATTGGTTAGTAGACTTTCACTGCAATATTAAACTCCACATATTATTAACTAAAATGTGGAGGCCTTATCTGTGTTGTTATATCCTAGACAACCAGTATGAACACGGATAAACAAGCTAGTCGATACACTTTGTGAGTGTGGCTGGCCTCCAACTCGTGTACTGGAGTGCTAGGTTACTAGTGTTAATTCTTCTTCCTCTTCAATTACACCTGTCAAAGGGCACTTAAAATACTAGCAGTAATCCTAATTATGACGGCTATATCAGAGGAAATATCAGTATTACTTATGAGATATAGACCAAGGAATATTTACCTTGGTCTTGTCGCTGTCTCATGTCCTAACCGGATTCACCCATATATATCTACCTACTTCTCTGGCCAGGAAAGCACTAAGGTAATAAGCGGGTTTCGGTAAGGTACTTCCCTTGATAGTAGACGAAGTTGATGTTAATAATGGGAGCACTTTACTTCCCATAACACCGTTGTTAAAGGAAAATAATCAAAGCTAAATTTGCCCAAATGGCTGATGTTAAAATCAAATGGCGACTCTTATTGTGGAGAGTCCTCCCTCCCTCCCTCATGCATCCTGGCTCCAGATGTCGAAAGTGGTTAAAGGGCCTACATTTACTCGATTTTGGTAATGATAATCAAGTTGATGCAAGGGATATGTTTTATGATTTTCAGTCCAAAGACTGCTGTATTAACCCTAAAATCGCGCATATTGGAGGCACGGAAGAGAAATATTTGAATTGTGTAAAATCTTAACAATGTTAAACCAATCTCACTTTCTTTTATTATCACTTTCACTGTTAAACTTTCATCAAAATATTTTCAGAAATTGATTTTAGACGAATCTTTTAAAAATAATAACGTTTTGTTGATACGGGGAACAGCTCCTATTAACTGGAACTTGGGGATAATGCAGTAAAAAAGAGATGCAAGCACCTGTCTGCAGCTCAAAGAAAAATAGTAAGAAGTGTTAACAGAGTGACAGTCTCCATTTTTGCCGTTTCTGTGGTGTAATGGTAAGACGCTCGTCTGGCGTTCCGCGAGCGCTTTGTCCTGGGTTCGTATCCTGGCTGGGGAGGATTTACTGGGTGCATATCCTTAACTGTAGCCTCTCTCTAACCCAACAGTAAAATGAGTACTTGGGTGTTAAAAAGATAATTCGCGGGGAGGTCATATTCCGGGGAACATAGGATTAAGGATTTGCCCGAAACGCAAAGCTTACTAGTGACTGTACAAGAGTGTAACAACTCTTGTATATATATAAATAAGTGGAAATGCAGCTGGTGCTTCTACACCATTGCTGAGTAATACATAATAACAAAAAATAATGAGAATGTATGTTATGCTATATTTTGTTATATATCATATAAATAGTGTCCAATGTTAATGTGTTACTTTCATCAATGTCCCCCCCCCCCCAAAAAAAAAAAAAAAATTTTTTGGTGGAAATCAATTTTTTCGGGGGGGGGGGATTTTTTTTTTTTTTTTTTTTTTTTTTTTTTTTTTTTTTTTTTTAGTTTTTTCTCCTTTGTTTATTATGGTTTTGTTGTAACCTTTACATCCTGGAAAATGCATACCCTTCCTTAACTAAGTGAAGATAGAATGACATTGGTCAACAAATAAATCGGTCCCAATTCGCAGAACTTGGAGCTTTGATTTTTTTTTTGGCAGATTTTTTCTGTTTTCAAACTCAATTTTCTTTGTCTCTTTAGGTTGTTTTGACGATTAGGGACCAGATTGTGGCTTTTTCACTTGTATGAAGTATACCCTAAATATATCCCCTAAATTGTTATAATTAGTGTATCTCTATTTTTGGGGGTTGGGGGGTGGGGATTATTTTTTCTTAACTTCATTCCAACATATATTACCCTACAACATTCACATTCAAGTACGAATACCAAACAATGTTCATTAAAACATACAATTAAATTAACGAATTAGGACTACCTTTAGTCATTGTCCATAACTTCAATTATCTCTGAAACTTGAGTTTCAAGTTTAGTGGCTTCTAAAATTCCAGTTTTTGACAGATTCTAACCATTTTGACATAGTGTGCTTAGATGTCTATGTGTATATATTGTATATTGTGTGCTCATATGTGTATATGTATATATGTATATATATATATATATGTCGTACCTAGTAGCCAGAACGCACTTCTCAGCCTACTATACAAGGCCCTTGAATTAATCTTGAATTTTCTTGAATTAATATATTTTCTCTAATTTTTTTCTTGTGAAATGATAAAGCTACCCATTTCATTATGTATGAGGTCAATTTGTTTTTATTTGAGCTAAAATTAACGTAGATATATGACCGAACCTAACCAACCCTACCTAACCTAACCTAACCTATCTCTATAGGTTAGGTTAGGTGGCCGAAAAAGTTAGGTTAGGTTAGGTAGTCGAAAAACAATTAATTCAGGAAAACTTGGCTTATTAGGCAAATCAGGCCTTGCATAGTAGGCTGAGAAGTGAGTTCTGGCTACTAGGTACGACATATATATATATATATAATATAATATAATATATGGAGTTACAATTTTTATTTTTTTTGTCTAAATTTGCCGCATATTTCAAATGCCATATTGACGATTTATTTTTACAGTAAACTACAGTATACTGAAAAGCTACATTCTAATTTGATGAAAATGAAAATAATATGCTACTCTGAGAGAAAAATAACACCAAATACACAATTGGTGATAGTTTATATTTTTAATTCTGATTTGAAAATCTAAAGTTTTAAATTTTCAATTTTTTAATTATTTTTGATTTTCCTGTTTTTCAAGTTACGTTGTGATCATTTAGACAAAGTTGGAGCATTTGCCTAGTTGATTATGCACACAAACGTAGGTGGTGTTTGTGCAAGTTTTAAAAACTGGAGTTATGTCAAATCGTATATGGATGATTTGCGCCATTTAAGGGTCATCTTGAGGTTATCTTGAGATGATTTTGGGGCTTTTCGTGTCCCTGCAGCCCGGTCCTCGACCAGGCCTCCACCCCCAGGAAGCAACCCGTGACAGCTGACTAACACCCAGGTACTTATTTTTTACTGCTAGATAACAGGGGCATAGGGTGAAAGAAACTCTGCCCACTGTTTCTCGCTGGCGCCTGGGATCGAACCCAGGACCACAAGTTCAGCGTGCTGTCCACTCGGTCGACCGGCTCCCATTAACCCTCCCCAGGGTTAAGAATGTTTCCCAATATTAGGTGGTGAATTTAATGATGACATGTGGCTATGATATCGTTTTCTACGGGGGAGGAAAATTCCACTGTACCACATCTTGTGTAATAAGCAAATTAACTCATAATAGTTATCTGCCTGTTGTATTAAATATTAGTAAATGGTGCCGGTTTTTCCGACACCACCTGAGCTGTCCTGGTCCTTTGACAGGGTGCCCTCCTATCTTTCCTCTCCTCGGTTTGTGGTGGCCCCTTCGGTTCAAGATTGGTTTTCAAAGGCTCTGTTTCTGTTGGCATTGGCTTCGGGGGGTCAGGTTGGGGAGCTGCATGCTCTCCTCTGGCACAGGGGTTCCTGCTCTTTTGGTCCTGGTGGTAGGTTTGTTCGGCTGCAGCTTTCTTCTTTTCTGGCGAAGAACATGTGTTGTATCCGGTTGCAGCTCTCCGCTGTTATCTGCGCGCTTTGGCTTCGGTGGCTGGAGATGTGGTTTGGGTTAATGCAGTTTCCCTCGTTCCCTGGTCCAGGGCTCAGGTCTCCCACGTCGTCTGCTTGGTTATTAAGTCTAGCTAGCCTGCAGTCCATTCTCGTGCCCATGATGCTAGTAAGTTTGCTGCATTGGGGGCCATGTTTGGCAACATGTCTTGGGCTGATATTCAGTCATAGGGATTTTGGAGGTCAAACAGGGTCCTGGCCGACCGTTATTTGGTTGACATTCCTGCTCCTGGCCGTTCCTGTTTTGCTTTGGGTCGCAGGTTGCAGCCAGTTGTCTCGACTTATGTTGAGTTTGTGGTGGCCACCTCCCAGGGTAAGTCCCTCTTTCCTTACCTATGGTTATGTAGCTCCAGGGAGCCGAAGGGGTTTCCCACAGAAAACCAGCGTTGAATATAATGAAAGGCCATTTTCTGGGCGAGTCCCAGAGGCTCCATGGCAACCTTCCCTCCCGGTCAGTGTGTTTTTTTTTCATTGTTTGATGCTTAGCTTCCGAACTGGAGTGCTTGGGCAGCCGGTGTGGGAAGGTTCGGGACTCCCACCTTCCCCCTCTTGAGGAGGGGAGGGCTGCGCGGAAGAGCGGTGTGGCAGTAGTGTGACATTTCCTTGGGATTAGAGGGAGTTCTACCTCTTTCTGTTTTTCTTTGTACTTTTCTTACTATGTTGCATTTTTGTTATGCCTACCTTTCTGGGTGCCTAACCCTGGTGGATGACTGACATAGAAAGCTCCTAAACACATGGGGGTTTACATAGGCCGTTGCTCCCTGTGCCTCTGAGGTGGCCAGGTTCTGGCTCGTGCTCCACAGTACGCAGAACTCCAATTGACTTATGTCCCAGACTAATATAGTGTATATCAGTTCGATATCTCCAGGGAGCCTTCGGGCCTCGCCCAAAAAATGTCGATTCATTATATTCAGCGCTGGTTCTTTTGTTAAATTATGAATATTTAATCAAAGGGCATTGGGGTGTATGAAATACTGTTGTGGCATACAACTTTTTTATATGTATATATATGAACAGATACAATGAGCGAGACAGGTGCTGTTCCACTCTCTCCAGTGGTAAAAGAAGGCTGGCTGAACAAGCGTGGTGAATATATTAAGAATTGGAGGCAGCGTTATTTCTTCCTTCTTGAAGATGGCACATTTCTTGGCTTCAAGACCAAACCCAAAAGTGGCCTTGATGATCCGCTCAACAAATTCACAGTGAAAGTGAGTAAAGTTGATGTTCTTGCCTTCCTGTGTCCGTGCATGTATATTCATATTCCTTAACATTACTGTGTCTGCCATAGTGGGAGTAATACCTAATTGTATTTAGCTAATGGAACTTCATTGTTTTTTCCTGCCTCGACTATCGTTAAACAAGTGTACATGTTCCTGAACCTGTTGGGCTCTATCGTATCTACATTTAATAATAATAATAATAATAATAATAATAATAATAATAATAATAATAATAATTTATTTAAAAGAAGGTACAATGGATTTGTGAGATTGCATAATACAGTGGCACCTTCGTTTATGAATTTAATTTGTTCCAAGAAATGGTTCGTACCCCGAAAATTCGTAAACAAATTTTCTCATAAGAAATAATGTAAATTGAATTAATCAGTTCCACACACCCGAAAATATTAACATAAAAATTCTTTTTATGCAGAATGCTACTCATATTTTTTTACTATACCTTAACTATTGAGGACTCGTGTTGGGATATGTAAGACGGTGAGAAGGTTGGAGGTGGTGGTGGTGATTCATTATACTATCAGGCAGCGATGTCATTTCTGGGGCAGTCATTCTTCTATGTTTTGCAGGTACACAAATAAGACCTGGTTGTGGCTCACTGCTTGCTTGTCTTACTAAGAATCTGTCTATAGACACTTGTTTTTTACCTGTGTTTCGACACTTGGCTGCTGAGACATCACATTGTCTCACTATAAATGATCTCTTGTTTTACGTTTATTGTCATCTTCGCCACTATTTTCTTAGGTTGAACGTTACCACTGACTTTCTTGGGATCCATGGCATGATATATAACAAGAACTTTTATGTTCAAAAACCAAAAAAAAAAGCAGAAAAGCAATGAACATCTTCACAAAGAATTCAAACGCTGTTGTCACTAGACGGGATACACTGGTAAACTGAATGCACCTCTTCCCATACCCAGCAGAACCAGGTACTCAGCCTAGACAAATACAGTGTTACCTTGGCTTACGAATGCCCCTCTTTATGAACTTTTCGGGTTACAAGCCCGAATTCTTCGGAAAATTTGAATCGGGTTATGAACTTTACCTCAGGAAACGAGTTTGTTGATATCAAAACAAATCAAATCAAATTAAATCAAAGGTTTATTCAGGTAAAGTACACACATACAAGATGAGATACAAAACATTGATGGATTTATAGACAGAGCTAGTACATACAATGCCTAAAGCCACTATTATGCAAAGTGTTATGGGCAGGAAAAACCCTAAGACTAAAACTTAATACTAACTGAGATTAAAGTATAAATTGTGATGAGAAAATAACAAATAAAAAAAGGGGGGGCATGGCAGAAAAGTAGCAAAAGTAGCATGCTTACTTTATGGTCATCCTCTTGAGTACAAAGATTCCACGAAGCTTTTGCAGTAATTCTTTGACACTCGTTTGACTTGGTCGCCCCATGTCTCTTACTTCCGTGATGAATGCTCTAAGGCCCTTAACCTACTTAAGGTTTTGTCCCATACTTCTTAGGGAGCGGATAGGCGCACGCTCCTCTATTTGCATTCCTCTCTCGTCCTGTCAAAACTCGATTATGGTTGCCCTGCATACTCTTCTGCGTCTCCTACTCTTCGCCATCTTGATCCTTTGCACTATACTGGGTTGCGCCACAGCTCGGGTGCTTTTCGTTCTACTCCTACTCTCAGCTTGTACGCTGACACTGGCTTCCGGTCTCTCCAGGACCGCCATGATCGCTACAGTCTTCACTATCTTGTGTGATTCTTACAGCATCTTCACTCTCGCCTCTATCGTGCTTTGACTTTTACCCCTCCTGTAGTTCCTGTTCTTCTTCGCCCCCTTCCTCTTTCTGTCCGTTTGTCTCGCTTACAGGATTCTCTTTCGGTTCGTATTACCAATATTTCTCCTCGTATTGTTCCATCCTTGCCCCCGTGGAGGGTCCCCCTTCCCAAATTTTGTACTTCTCTCATCCGCATCACTAAAGCGGGTGTACAGAAGTTTCACTCCTCCTACAGTTCTGAAACGTCTCTTCCTTGAGCACTTTTCCTCTCACTCCCACTGTTCCCATCTTCACTGATGGGTCAAAGTCTGCTGACGGTGTGGGCTACTCAATTGTTTTTCCTGACCACACTTGTATGTGTCGCCTTCCTCCGGAGGCTAGCATCTTCACAGCAGAACTTTATGCTATTCTCTATGCTCTTCGTCTCCTACTTTCCCGGTGTCAATCCTCCTTTGCGGTGGTAGTTGACTCTCGTGGTGCCCTCATGGCGTTAGGGTCCTTTAATCCGGTCCACCTGGTGGTTGTCGAGATTCAACATTGGCTGTTTATATAAAGTAAATTTAAGTCAGTTGAGTTTTGCTGGGTTCCCAGCCATGTTGGTCTCTCTTTAAATGAGCCTGAGGATGCTGCCGCTAAGGAAGCTATCCGCACTTGTCCCATCTCCCGTAAAAGTATTCCTTATTCCGAATTTTACCCAGTTATTCATGCCTCCATCCTTGCCCACGGGCAGAGTTTTTGGTCTTCTGTTATTGGTAACAAACTGCATACTCTTAACAGTCGTGTGTCCCAGTGGCCTTCCTCCTACCACCGTAACCGGCGGTGGGAAACGGCTCTGGCTAGGTTTCTTATTGGCCATACCCGTTTAACTCACGGTCACTTAATGTATTGCCGCCCTGCTCCTCATTGTCCATATTGAATTGTCCTTCTTATGGTCGTGCATATCCTTGTTGAATATCCTGATTTCCAGGACGAGCGTGTCTTGTTTTCCGACCGTCCCCCGCGGTCGCTTGTCCCCCGATAGACTTTTTGGTGAATCGGATACTTTTGATATCGTTTGCCTTGTGCGTTTCTGTTCACGTATTGGCATCCTTGGTAATATATAGCGCCCTCTGATTATCTCACACATTTGATGGTGCTACATAGCCTTCCCGGTTTGGTGCCTTCTTTTGATAATTACTTACTTAATAGCACTGCTGTTCAGCTTGTGACCACAGCATTGCCTAAAAATGTCAAAATATATATGTAACTGGTATTATTTAGCCTTGATAGTATTACAGAAGAGCCTGACTGTGATAAAGACTGTGTACAATGTTCAGATAGCAGTGAATCAAAACTGTTCTAGATGTTCACAGCGCTAACCACAGTACACTGGTTAGCGCTGTGCACATTATTTCGTCCATCTAAGAATCTTCAAAACGACTTCTCATGTTTCTTTACAAAATAAAGAAGACTTGTGGAAAAATAAACTTGGCGTCGTCTCTTAGCGTCATCTGCTGGCTGCTGTGTTACTTGTCAAGCAGTTTTTGTTGTTGCTATGTTGTTTGGACACCATACTGGCTTAGTTGTACAGTTATGGTGAATAAAATATGTAAATGCTTATATGTAACGTGTGTATATAGTGTAATAAAACCACTAACAGTATTGTGGGAGGAGTAATGTTGGCGAGTTAGGACTTGAAGGAGTGAGGGAGGGCTGGCTTGGTGTGGCAGCCCCCTCTTGTTTCTTGGGCTCACCATACCAACCTAGTTTGCTATAGTGAACACAAATGTAGACACAGTAGTACAGGAAGACCTCATACAGTGTCAAATTCTACCTTATTGTGCTCAAATTCATACAGCTTCTACCAGTGCCTCTCCAGACATGCCTCAGGCTCTGGGGCATGCTGGGGATTTTTTGTCAAAATGGCGGACGATCACTGGGGCCCTCGGGCATCCATTTCATACTCACATCACTGCACGCCAGTTTTGAATAGTACACTATGCCCGAGAGATCCCTGAGGCGCGTTGCACACCACCCATCGAGTGCCTAGAGGCACGTTATGCAGTACAGTGTCTAAATGGGCGATGACACCACAGAGGCGGATGCCATCATGACCTGACGCAAGGGGTAATGCTGGTGATCGGTCGTTGTTTTCTGAGGGAATTTTCCAGCCGTTCAATCAGATAAACCTTTGTATAATAGTAACAGTATTGCAAGGAAGGGTAGAGTACCTGACAGTCTACTGAGCAGTACTTTTGGGAGTCTAGGTTTCTGAGGGGGGTTTGTGTGTGTATGTCACCAGTTGACAGATGTGGTGGTTGTGTGACCAGTTCCAGCTTTGGATTAATAGCTATAGGAGACCAAAGCCCGTTTGGGCGATTATTTTCATGTTACCTTCAGAATGACCTTGAGTTGTAAGGAGTGAATTATGTTATTTGATGTCGTATGTGTGTTGTTAATATACATCTGTGTCGTTTATCTACTAGGTTGTTTCCCTACACCGTGAAAAGCAGTATGAAGACATGTTTAGCACTCCAATACTCAGCATGAAAGTGGAAGATTCGGACAATTTCTTTATGAATGATACTCAAACACCTGTAAATATAGCTGATATCAACACGAGCGTGGCAGATTTTGAAAGAGAAATTGACAATATGCCCATGCACTCAGCCCCGGGTTCAGATTCATGGAATTCAATATTCATAAAGAAATGCAAAGTGCCAGTAGCACAGGCACTCAGTATAGTGTGGAGGAAGAGCTTGGACACGGGGGAGATACATGATGAGCTTAAAGCAGCAGACGTTGCCCTTCTACACAAGGGTGGTAGCAAAGCATTGGCAAAGAATTATAGACCAGTTGCACTAACGTCCCACATAATGAAAGTATTTGAAAGAGTGATCAGGAGCCACTGATATTAATTAGATAATACTTTCCCTTAAAACCAAGTCTAGTGCCCTTGAGGAGATACCAACTCTAATTTACTAAAAAGCCTCCAGATCTTTAGCTCCTGCCATTGCATTGCTCTTCAAGAAGTCACTTGAACTTCAAACATTTCCAGATATTCTAAAAAAAAAAGCGAGAGTAACCTCAGTCCATAAATGTGGTGTTCTCACTGATGTCAACAACTTCAGACCTATATCAATTTTGCCAAACTTGTCAAAAATATTGGAAAACTAATCTACAAGCAGCGTTACTCTTATCTAGCCAAACACAATATACTTAGCTCTTGTCAATATGGCTTCAGACCCAAAAAAAGCACTAACGATGCACTTATTAGTATGATTAACTTAATACATGCAGCTCTTGATAAAAATGAGTTTCCTATTGGATTATTTGTGGACCTGCGTAAAGCTTTTGACGCAGTCAACCACCAGAACCTTCTTTAATTAGATCATTATAGAGTCAGAGGACACACTCTGCAATACCTCAAATCTTACCTTACTGACAGGCTCCAGTATGTTTCTGTGAATAATTCAATTTCTCCCACCCTACCCATCAACATTGGTGTTCCACAGGGCAGAATACTTGGCCCTCTCCTCTCTCTCGTCTACAATAATGACCTTCCAAATGCCTCCCAACACCTCAAACCAATTGTATTTGCTGACAACATAACCTTCATTTACTCTGTTCCTGACCCCCTTACACTAAATGTCAGTGAATACTGAGCTAAATAAAGTCCATCTCTGGTTAACTGCCAACAAACTCACCCTCAACATTGACACAACTTTCTTGTTGATTAGCAATAAATCCTCAAATCAAATAAATCTCAGGATAAACAATACCCAAATTTGTTACAAAGTAGATGACAAATTCCTTGGCATTCTCATTAACAAACTGAATTTCCAGGGACACATTCTGAATATATAAAAAAAGTTTCAAAAACTGTTGGCATTCTTTCTAAGATCAGATATTATGTACCTCGCCCTGCCCTGGTGACGCTCTATTACTCTTATCTATCGTTATCTCAACTATGGTATTTGTGCTTTGGGTTCTACTACCCAAAATCATTTCAGTCCTCTAATTATTAAACACAAATTAGATCATCACTCGGTACCCTGACTCAAATCTCTGAATATGTTAGATATTAAGTTGCTGCACATCCTCTCATGTGTTTTGTATATATATAAAACGCTGAACTGTAATGTCAATCCTGACCTCAAAAGCTTCTTAGAAGGTTGTAACAGAACCCATGAGCACCACACCAGAAACAAATACCTATTTGATATTCCAAGAGTACGACTTATTCAAACTAGAAATGCCCTACAAATCAAGGGACCCAGAATGTAGAATGACCTTCCCAATCATGTTAAAGACTGTATCTCTCCCAATCAGTTTAAGATAAAAACTAAGTACTACTAAATTAACTCCTTGTAACCTACCTTACCCCTGAATGTCAACCCATGTCTACCGTTTTAAATAATGCTGTCTGTTGACCAAATTGTATATTGGCTATTTTCTGCCATGTTCTCCCCGTTTTTCTTTTATATTCTCAACACAATTTATACTTTAATCTCAATTAGTATTAAGTTTTAGTCTGTGTTTTTCCTGCCTGAAACGCTTTGCATATTAGTGGCTTTAGTCATTGTATGTACTAGCTCTATCTATATATCCATCAATGTTTGTATCTAACCTTGTATGTATGTACTTTACCTGAATAAACATTTGATATGAGTGTGAAAGCCTGCCTGGTTGCTACCACAACAGGGAATACTTGACTGCCTTTCGTTATGGCTGCCTATATTCACCTAGTTGTGCTTGCGGGGGTTGAACTGTGGCTCTTTTGGCCAGCCTCTCAATTGTCAATGGTCTTGACTGTGGTTGCTTGACTGACTTCTGACCAAGTGGCTGGTTCTGATTAGCTGCTACATAGTAGAGGCAGTGAAATGTGTGAAAGGAAAATCTGGAGCCGGTGATGCAGATATGAATTTATTCAAGGCGAGCAGGGAACGGTCTCGCCTCCTTTCTCCTCCTCACCCTCCCCATTCACCAACACCGCTCCTCCCTCCCCGTCTCCCATACGCCAACAAGTCCTCGGTAAAAGTAAAGTGCAATTAAATGTTCACTTATTTTATTTATGGTTTATATTTATATCTGATTGTTTTGTTTATGAGAAAATGAAGGATACTCAGTCTGTATCCCAAGAGGACGTAGCATAGTTATTGGTCAAAATATTATTAGTGCACTTTTTGTATTTTCTATAACTGTAATTTCATTCTATTTCAGCAATGCCAGATCTTGAAAACAGAAACACCACGATCTAACACCTTTATTATCCGTGGACTGCACTGGAGAGCTGTTATAGAACGTAGTTTTAATGCAGAGTCTTCATGTGACAGGTGAGAATTTGTCTTCAAAGATGTTTTTCCTGCCCCAGTACTGGTAGTACTGGCCAAGTACTGGTAGTTTTCCTGGTAGTACTGTTGAGTTCCTTCTTGATTCAAACTCAGGAATTTTGGGTTACCAGGTGGAACAAATGGTCACTCATTTCCCATTACTTAAGGCCTCTGTTTGCCTAGCACTAAATAGTCGGCTTGTTATAGGGTTGTTTCTTGGAGGGTCTGTAGTTCGACTTTGGTGGGACCCCAGTACAAGCCTAATATGTATATTTACATGGATGCTTTCCATGTAAATCTGACTTTCACGTCATTAACCTTTAACCCCAGGGCAGCGCTGCTAATAATAGCCGACAACACCGCTGTACACAAGAAAAAAAATTCAATTTTTTTTTTCTTTTAAGACTTAAAATGTGTTCCCTGATCACAGGAAAAATAATAAATAAAATTGTAGATGACATATTTTGGCCACAATAGGGCATAGAATTCTGGCAAGATTCAGGCGCCGACTGTATGCATCCGGGGCCGTCTCCTCCACCCGAGCCGTCAAGCGGGAGTTGGCACAAAGATATTACCTAATTACTGCATTTAAATCCCCCTCACTGTCTGGCCCGTTGTCGCCGTGAGGGGGCTTGGTGGGCAGCTGCCAGTGTGTGATGCTCCATGGGTCAGTCCTCTGTCCTTTTGCAGCCTTATGCTCCTGCTGCTGTCTTTGCCAATTTTGCCAGGCCCCTTTTCCTTTTACTCGTGTTTCATTTTTCTTCTCCCTCTTCTATCCAATTGTCATTTCCTGCCGACCTTTTGCCCGTTTTGATTATTCTTTCGACCTTTTGTTTTGAGGCCCGGGTGTTTGAGGAGGCATACTCCTGCACCCGTAGAACTGTAGTACCCTACATCTCAAGCAAGGGAACCCTTTTATTGTCAATCCTCCTTTCGTCATTGAACCCGCTCTCGACAGACTCACGGTTTTTAAGGTGGCGTTTGTGTGGCGTATACTCATGACGCACCCCTAGGGGGCCCCGGCAAGATCGGCGATAGCTTCTTGTTGGGTGTCCTGCCTCTAATTGTGGCTCCATGGTGGGTGTGGGGGAACATTCGTGAATGCAAGTTTTTCCTCGTTTTCATAACTGATAATGTTTCCCTTGTACTTTCTCAGGCTCGTGGGGTTGGCGACCAAGCCCCCCGAGTCGGACTGTGTTGGAAGACCAGGCCCTGTAGCCCCTGCTGCATTGGGCCCCGACGACCTGACTACTCCCCTCAGCTCCTCTTCCTCCTCTGGGGTAGGGTCGAGTCCCCAGCCCCTTGTGGTGACCTCCTCGTCCTCTGGCACAGCTTCGTCTCTCATTGTGACTACTGTGCCTTTTACCCCCTCTCTCTCTCTCTCTCGGGGTTCTCAACGCGGTTCCCGCCACGGCTGCACTCACATGATCCCTTCCCGTAATACTACTTACAACGCCTTGTTTGGTCCCGCTACGTGGGCTAAATACTTTGATCTCCACCATCTGGATTCTACTCCTGACGATTTCTCCCTCCATAAACACCTTGTTGATTCAGTAGATGCCTCTGTTACTTTTAACTCCACCAGTTACAGTATGCGTGGCGTCGCTGCTCCTTCTCAGGATGCAGCTACTCGCTTTGTCCTGCATTGGAAAGACCCTTGTTCGGGTCTCCAAAAACACTCGGTTAAATGCCAGTGTTGGCACTGTTCTCCTCCCACACCATGTTGCATCTGGTGTTCGGGACCTCAAAGATTGCCATGAGGATATTAAACATATCCTCGTAGCCCAAGGCCATTCTGTCCTCCAGGTGGACACGTTTACTCGACCCCCTCGTGGTCGTCGCCGTCAGCCCCTTTGAGTTGTAAAAATCACCTTTGATAGTAGGACCCTTCCGCCCTCTATTATTCTTGCTGGTGCTAGATGCTCCGTTTAGGAGTACATTCCCTCCCCTAGACTTTGCAATAAGTGTTGGAAGTTCGGGCACGGTGTCCTCAAATGCACCAGTACTGTGTATCTATGCCCCTTGTGTGAAGACGATAGTCATTCTAAGTCAGAGTGCACTTCTCCCCAGGCTCGCTGCCACAATTGCGGTGATGCCCACCCTACTTTCTCACGCTCGTGTGTACACTACAAACTCGAAGAAGCCGTCCTCAATTTGAAGCACCGTGATCGTCTGTCTTTTCCTGAAGCGAGACGCCAAGTTCGTCATTTCACCCCTTTCGCGGGCGTATCCTACTCTCGCGTGTTGCGTTCTACCTCTCCTCGTCCTTCCCACCTTCCTTAGTCTCACAACCGTTTCCAGGCCTTAAACCCGACCACACCCCCACCTCCTTCCCTGTTCCTTTGCCTCCTGTCCAAGATGGTCTCCCTCCTGGTTCTCCATCTGGGGTTTCCCCCCTTCCTACCCAGTCCACCATATCTTCTTTGTCTTCTTCCCCATCTCCCCCCACACTTTCTTCCCGACCCTCCCCCCAGTCTCTTGACCCTCCACGCCACCTGTCTGTCCAGGCTGATATCCATCATCCTCCCAGCAATCTTCGTGTTATTCGCTCCCGCTCCTCTTCTCTTGCTGAGACCATTGAGTCTGTCGCCCGGTACGTTGTTACTGGAACGCCTGTCTCTTCAAATCAGAAATGTAAGCCTGGCTCCTCTCCTTCTTCCTCTCCAGCGGGTAAGAAGGCTTCGCTGTCTTCCTCACCCCCTCCCTCTGACTGTCACTGCATCCCTTCCCATTTCAGTGGTCGAACTCCCTGTCCCAGATATGGAGGTTTCTTTCACCCCCGATTCCCTCTCGGTTGCTACCCTTGCTGAGGCGCACTCCCTGACTTCTGCCCGCCCCCCCCCCCCTCCTCCAGCTGTCCTTGCCTGCCTCTCTCAGTTGTCTCCTCCTCCGGACCCCGTTAGTCCGCCTCTGGTCTGTCATCTTGCTCCCTTCCCTCTATCCTTACTAAGTTTACCCATGCCCCCTAACCCTGATTTCGCTGACCCTGCTCCTGAAGCTGACCCAGATCCTGGCCCTGATCCTGGCCCTGCTCCTGAGATTCTTTAATAAAATGTGTTCTTCAATACCTTTATTTCTTTCTTGTTCTCTGTTACTGTCCTTTCTCTTTCGTAATGTCTATTCTTCAGTGGAATATTCGTGGATTTTATGCCAACTTCCATGAATTCCAACTTCTAATTACACAGTTTTCATCGCTTTGCGTTTGTCTCCAGGAACCCATGCTTGGTGCTCGTCCTGGTCACTTTCGTGGTTATTCCTTTCTTTCTCCCCCCCCCCCCAGCTCTTGCTGGGGCCCATAACTCTACTGCTCTCTTAATTCGATCTGATATTCCCTTCGTCCCCCTACTTCTTCAGTCACCTATCCATTGTTCTGCTGCCCGTGTTTTTGTGGGTAAATGGTATACAGTCTGTTCCATTTATCTCCCCCCAAATGTCCTGCTTTCCCTTCCTGATCTTAAGCACCTCCTGGACTCCTTGCCAGAGCCAGTGCTCCTTTTGGGTGATTTCGACTGTCGACATTTCCTCTGGGGTGATGTTCTGACAAACACCCGAGACTGTCTTCTCAAACCGTTCGTCCTCGCTTCTTCTCTATCTCTTCTGTATTCTGGTGAGCCCACTCATGTGGACTCTCGAACTCGCACCCTTTCCAGTTTTGATCTTTCTCTCTGCTCGTCGTCTCTTTACTTAGATTTCACGTGGCAGGTTCTTGATGACCTCCATAACAGTGATCATTTCCCCATCCTCGTTTCCTTTTTCCACCCTCTCCTCTCCTTCCCTAGGTGGCAGTTTGCCACGGCTGACTGGTGCCTATTCACCCTCCGTGCTACTCTCTCTGACCTCTCTGCCAGTTCCTTGCGCCCTCCTTCTTTTTTATGACAGTCTTCAACCCTGCCCTCCATTCTATTCCTCGCTCTTCCTCCTGGGGCACACGGAAGTGCGTTCCTTGGTGGAATGCGTACTGTGCTCGGGCTGTCCGCTGTAAGCGTGCAACCTGAAACACCGCCACTGGCAGATGGCCGATTCTTTTATTCTGTTAAGGAAGGCAAGTGCAGTGGCCAGTAGGACCATCCGTACAGCTAAACGTAAGAGTTGGAAATCTTATGTTTTCACCATTACGTCCGATACTCCTCTGCCGCAGATCTGGAAGAAGATCTGCAAGATTGCGGGCAAGTTTGTTCCAGATGTCTCGCCGGTTCTCCACCTCCGTGGTACTCTTGTGGCTGATCCAATGCAGGTTGTGACCGAACTGGGTTCCCACTTTTCTTCTGTTAGCTCTGGCTCTCATCATCTTCAATCCTTCCTTCTTCGTAAGCCTGTTCTTGAATCTTAACCTTTAGATTTCCGCACTCATCTCCGCCTTCCCTATAACGATCCTTTCTCTCTTTCTGAACTTCAGTCTGCCCTGACCCTCTGCGGATCTATGGCGGCGGGCTAGGATGACGTTCATTATGAGATGCTTCGCCATCTCCCTCCGTGCACGTCTCAGTATTTACCGAGTCTGTATAACTAGGTCTTGGAGGAGTCGTCCGTCCCTGAGGACTGGCTCGATGCCATTGTACTCCCTGTTCGGAAACCAGGGTCTCTTGGTACATCCCCTAAGGACTTCTGCCCTATTGCTCTCACGAGTTGTGTTTGCAAGCTGTTTGAGCGTATGGTAAATGTCCGTCTGATGTGGTTCTTGGAACACCATCACCTCTCTCCTCAATTTGGTTTTCGCAAGTGCCGCAGCACGACTGATGTCCTGGTGAACTTGGAGGTCAATATTCGTACTGCTTTTGCTGCGAAAACCTCCGTTGTTGCTGTCCTATTTGACCTGTAAAAGGCTTATGACACGACTTGGAGATATCATATTCTGTCCCAACTTCGTTCTTTTGGCCTTCGTGGTAATCTCCCTCTCTTCCTTCAAAGCTTTCTCTCTCGTCGTACCTTTCGAGTCAGGCTTGGTGCCACTCTCTCTGCCTCTTTTCGGCAGTATGAAGGTGTGCCCCATGGTAGTGTTCCGA